AATAATAATAATAATAATAATAAGAGTTCTTATTGTTGTTGTAATTGTTATTGTTATTATTGTTATGATTACTTGATAGGACTAAATGTTACAATCCCTAAAATAATTGGCACCATTCTTGAGTGGGCTTGATGACCGGGTCTGTTTTCATACATAAGGTGCACCGGATAATAAGGCAAATTAAGCTAAAAAAAAAAAACAGGTCAGATAAGTCAAATTTTACTCAACTCATTCTTCTTGCTTCCTCCACTTCCATACCATTGATTGATTAATGTTGAATTCTCTCGTAGCTGCTCTATTCCCATGTTGTTGCAGTATATTAATGACTAACCTTGTATTGTGGATGGATTATCTCAGTTGTTCTCCTCTGGAAAAAAGTTAGCGTTCATCCTCCAGCTTCACTGTGTTTATGTTATGCTAACATAGCTGTGTCGCTAGCGATCACACAGCACATCATTATATACCAGCTAGCCCAACTTCAGTAACCCTACAAACGTCATTGCTGCTTTGATGCAATTATTTCTGACCTCTGCCACTGTTCTTACTGTGATGGGTTTTTTTTTCTTTTCACACTGATGTCTTCAGGTGAAACTTTGGGTATTTATTTCAACCAATTGTGTGTTTTTGTCCTCATCCAGCATTAAGCCATTCTTTATGGATGTCTCTCTGCCCAAAGTGTGTCACATTTTGTTTTTTAGTTTGCAAAAAAAATATCTTCTTTTTCATTGATATGCTTTATAAGTGGCTTCTATCATCCAGAAAAATAGATTTAATAAAATTATTAAAAAATAAAATAGTTGTTTGGGGTTTTTTTTCAAGTAAAATTTAAGAGAACTATTTGTTATACTAACTAATTTGTCTTAAACACTGGAAATCAGTTTATTTAATATTTACAAAACAGTAGTGTTATATGATATTTTTGAATTAAGATACAGATTATTATCTTTGCTTATAATATGTTAGCTGATTTGAATCAGTAGAGAATCATATGAGTGCAGCTGGCTTGCAAAAGACACATGATGCTTAATATTTATTTATTTTTCTCTCAACTGAAACATTACAAATAACATCACTTAGAAATGCTTGCTTACCTATCCCATTTACGTTTATTCTTAAATGGGACTAATGGCAATATTTTTCTCTCTTGCAAAATTTAGATTTTCATTTTTAAATTTAGGTGAAAGGAAGGTGTAGGGAATTTTAGGGGTTTATCTCTGCCATTTCCACTATGTGGAAACCATTGGATGTAAACTTCTTAGACAAATCACTGTTTTTACAATGTGACTTGTCACTGTTTTGCCCTGAGGCATCTGGTTTGTTGATACTGAAAATAATGTTGAAAGAGAAGGCGTGGACACAACCTAAGGTTGTCAACACAAGAAAGGACTGGTAATAATGCGCTAAATTTGCTTTCTAAAGTTCTAAACTTTTACTTTATTTTGTGACCAGTATGACTGCTGACATGTTAAAAGGTTTGTCAGCTGCTTGCAATAACAA